TATATATATATATATATATATTATTATATTATATATATATATATATATATATATATGCACACACACACACACACACACACACACACACACACACACACACACACACACACACACACACACACACACACACCACACACACATATATATATATATATATATATAATATATATATATATATTATATATATATATATATAGATATATATATATATATATATATATGCATATATATATATATATTATATATATAATATATATATATATATATATATATATATATATATATATATATATATATAAGTATTTCTTTAGCATAATCTCAATCAAGTACTGACACACCTGGAATAAAATCGTTTATGACCCATTCACTATACACTTTCTGCAGCCAGCATTGCGAACTCCAACTCATCGCAAAACACACGGCAGGCGATAAAATTAGGTCTCAAGGTCACATAACCGGATATTTCCAAGGATCCTCCTACAGGCAAAGGATGGCAAGTTGCAAAAAAAAGGGAGAATAAAAAAGAAAAAGAACAAGGAGAAAAAAGGGAAGAGGTATTATTTGCAACTTCTCTTTTCGTCTTCGCTCCCTTCGGGCTGCGTGACTCAGCTTGTAGAATTGAGGTAACTTCGGCATGCAGTCGCTTAGTTACTGTTTATCTTAAGTTACCTTCGGCAGAGAGAGAGAGGAGAGAGAGGGAGAGAGAGGGAGAAGAGAGAGAGGAAGAGAGAGAGAGAGAGAGAGAGAGAGAGGAGAGAGAGAGAGAGAGAGAGAGAGAGAGAGAGAGAGAGAGAGAGAGAGAGAGAGAGAGAGAGAGAGAGAGAGACAGACAGAGACAGAGAGACAGACAGAAGACAAAGAGAGAGAGACAGAGACAACCAGACAGACAGACCAAGAGAAAAAGATAGAGATAGAGAGAGACAGACGGACAGACCGAGACCGAGAGACAGGCAGACAGATAAAGAACGTGTGTGAGAGAAGACGTTTTGCTGTTTTAACGAAAATCTCAATGAAAAAAAAAAAAAACAATAAGTAACGACGAATACTGATATCCTTCTTTAACAAGCGACTTGTGTCGACAATTCTACCAGTAATCAGTCTGCATTTACTGATCTCTTATTACTCTCTGCACCGCCTATTGTTAATAGACTTACTGATTCCCTGATATTGTCTTGTGACACAGCTGAATGAATGTTTTTACATTTCCTTTTTATGAGTAACCTTCACATTTCCAACATTTATAAAAACGAATACAAAAAATGTACATGTAATTGTTACCTCAACGTTTTTGCAGGACTGTATACCGCCCTTGTTAATCATCTTCAGAATGAAACTAATCCACGTTTGAACCAATCTAATAGAATCTCATTAAATAACACACTTATGTTTGTGTGGTATCTGTGCATTATTATCATTATCAGTATTAGTACTATCATTCTTATCATTATCTGGCGACAGTACCGAGTCGAGATCCGTACCTTGAAGAACCCTGCTCTAAAATGTAGTCAGTAAAACACGATATTGTTATCAATAACGATTTTATTTTCATCTTATTCTTCCTACCATTCTAGTTTACAGTTCCATCTGTATTATCAGTAATGATACTTTTCTTTCCATTGTTAATAATCACCGTATCATCATCAGTGGTATTACAACTCAAGGTATTTAGAATTCATTCCATTATCACTTAGGGACAGTATGAAATAATCATTATTATGTAAAAAAAAAAAATCCATTAGAAATAAATAATTATTACTATCGTTGTTTTTCACTAGTCGTATAATTATCATCACTACCTTCGTCATCATTAGCAGCTGTTACACATTTATTAGAAGCATGTTAACAATAAAACATTTAGTCGATGCGCAGATAATTATCTCTCGCTCTTTGGCCAGTGTACTGCACAGACTATTTTTTGGGCTTGGATGGCCCAAATGAGGCGCTGTCTGACATGAATAACAAAAGCTAGTACAAGCAAACACACACACACACACACACACACACACACACACACAACACACACACACACACACACACACACACACACACACACACACACACACACACACACACACACACACACACACACACACACACACACACACACACACACACACACACACACACACACACACACACACGCACACGCACGCACGCACGTTGGAATATCATATATTTGCCATTTTTGTGTATGCTACCCATGTCTACTTTTAAATCGCCCGCCTGCTAAATACTCGATTGGCGCTTGTGATGGCCAGCCAGAAGATTCCAGTTTTTGGCACATAACATCAAGCCATTCCACTGAGCACGCCTCTGCCTCGGGCTGTACGGTGACGGAATATTGCCATACGTAAGTTACTGTCGTGTAAGATTTTTTTTCTATTTTTACCTCGCAAGAACTGATTGTTTTTGTTTTAGTCATATTTGAAGATCAGTCCCTTGCTAGCTCCATTTTCGTTATCATCTGTACTCTTGTGGTTTGACCCCCTTCTGCCCTAGTTCATCCATGCCATACTCGCCTTGAGTTCGTGTGTCCCGATGTGGTGGTGTGTGTGTCCTGTGTGTGTGTGTGTGTGGTTGTGTTTGTGTGTGCTGTGCTGTGTGTGTGTGTGTGTGTGTGTGTGTGTGTGCAGTATTGTATGTAACATATATTATATATTAGTATATATATATAGTATATACTATATATATATACACGAACATATTCTGAATAAATAAATAAATAAATGGAATATATATATACTATTATTGGATATACACATACATACATAAAATATACATATATATCTACTACACACACACACTTCACACACACACACATGCGCACATACCACAACACACATATATAATATTATATATAGTACTATAACTTATATTATAGTATAATATATATAGTTACTATAGATACATGTATTTATATACATATATATACATACATACATATATCATATAATATATAATATTATATATATATAGTATACATTTACTAACATATATTTGTTCATGTACAAATATGTACAAATATATTATACAATACATATTATATATATATATATATATAGATAGATAGTAGTATATAATAATATATTCATGGGTAATACCATATGTGCAATAATATAAATAGGACATATATATATATATATTATATATATATATATATATATATATCGTGATATGTAATTTCTATATATGTATATATATATATATATTAATATATACCATGAATATATATATAATATTATATAGTAGTATATATATATTATACTAGTGTTTTATTATGATGTGTGACGTCTGTGTGTGTGCTAATATAGTATTATGATATTGTATATATACATATGTATACCATGAATTATTATAATATATATATATATATAACTAGATTTATATTGTATTTAGAATTATATATTATATATGCATACAATATATACCATGAAAAACGTTATGTACTGCTGTACATATATGTAAGGTATATTATATATATATATTATGTTACTATAGTATAATTCTATAGTATATATATATAATATAATAGTATATATATCTATTATATATCATACACACACGCACACACACACCCAACACACACATATATATGTGTATGTTATGTACATGATACATACATACACCAGTATATGATATATGTATATATATATATATATATATATAGTAATCGTATGTATGCTATATGTATGTATATATAATGATATATTATATATTATATATATGTATAATGTATTATATATATATTATATATATATATATATATATATATATTTATATGTGTGTGTGTGTGTGTGTGTGTGTGTGTGTGTGTGTGTGTGTGTGTGTGTGTGTGTGTGTGTGTGTGTTGTGTGTGTGTGTGTGTGTGTGTGTGTGTGTGTGTGTGTGTGTGTGTGTGTGTGTGTGTGTGTGTGTGTGTGTTGTGTGTGTGTGTGTGTGTGTGTGTGTATATATATATATATATATATATTATATATATATATATATATATATATATATATATATATATATATATATATATGAATGCGCAAGTCTTCTGCTGTGCAATTAACGACAAATATGTGCGTTTGCGTGTGTGCATTGCGCTATGAGGATGCCTCATAGAAGACATTCACATTTAAAGTTTCAGCTTATGAAAATGCACCTCCTCCTCCATCATATGCCACATGCGACCACTGTATTGGCGGGGCTCATGTTTGGCAAGAGGCCAAAGAAGAAGGCAAGCTGAAGAGAAGTTATCATTTTTTTTTCTGTTTCTCGTCGCCACTTCTTGTAGTGCCTCCACCACATATGAATGTAATCTTTATTCCCGTTGCTATGTCACCTTCTTTCTTTATTCTCAGTACTTTTGGTGACGCAAGAGACAGAAGAGTATTTTTTTTTATTTCCTAACCCATTCTGTTAAACAATAACCCTAGTAACTGTTATCGTAGATCAAGATACCGTCCAACCTGATCAGAGCCATCCATGCCCATGAGGAGATGGAGACTGAAACCCTTGTTAGGAAAAAAAGATAAAAAAGAAGATAAAGAACGGGTATCGGTAGCTGGTCTCGTTCATTTCTTTTGAGGTATAATGTATTATATTACTTTGTAATATGATACATTGCATTGTTAAATTGAATTAAAAAAATCACTCGCACTTCTTTTTAAATCCTGCCGTGTCGGATATCAGGATGTTGAAATGCGTCATTTGATCACACATAACTATATCTTCATAGTAGACCTTTGCGTAAATGCTTAAAGTAAGACTATAGGACTTACAAATGCTGTGCTGTGAATTGAAAACGATCAGGGCTCATCACTCCACATTTCTTCAAGCATTTTCAAAGTTCTTCGCCGCGAGCTAGATGCTACATGTTACCAATAACCTATTAACAACACGACAAAAAATACCCAAACTTCCCGAAAGCGTAAATCAAACTCAACATGACGAAAGCCCCAAAATATACCTACCACGCCAAGGTAAAATAACACAGGAAAATTATCCCTACATTCAGGAAAAAAGAGATATAGATAGATGTACCCGCAGTCCGGCAGGCGAGGCCGGGGTGCGGCGCCGGGCGAGCGAAGAACCACCTCACGCCGGCAGAAGGACGTCTAGAGCCTTACTACACACACGACCATCAACGGAATTCATCATGTCTCTGGAAGAGGTGGGGAAGGCTTCTCTTAAAAGTGTAGAAGTTTTTAGGAAGCGATGTGTATCAGAAGCGTTGCAGAAGTCTGTTTGTATGTGGAAAAGGGAAGTGTTATAAGAGGTTGTTAGTTGCATGTCTGAAAAATCAATAGGATGGACACGCATTCTGCATGAGACGGACAGGGCGTGCTCAGGAATGTCTGTCTGTTGCCTCGTAAACCATGGGTGGGATTCCTTGGTTTTGTCTGGAAAAGTGTTGTTTCTCTTTGAATTTTCATGATTTATGCTTTGTTTCCCTTTACAGACGATTCTTTCTAGATTTGAGTAGAATCGAAGGACGCAAACAGACGTGCTTTTTGCTTCTGCTTGAAGTATAGGAGTGGGAGTGAATAAATGTAAATGAACTCGTGATTGTGTGAATTGAAGTAATGTCTTGAGTAGGTACTTTAACACTTGATGTAACCACAGTGGAATACAAACTTTCCAGATTCTTTGATGGTTTCCTGTTTTTGCCTTTTATAGAATACTCCGAAACGTGGATTTCCCGCAGTTGTTTTATGAAGATAGTTGCAAAATAAATTTAGACGTGCATTAACTTTTTTTCCCTTTCAGTAGTATACGCATATGAAGCCAGTGCCAATGAGTCATGACAAGCCACAAATAGATTTATTATTACGCCTGTATATATTTCTCAATGATGTTGGTTTCGAGAACAAACTTTCCTCAGGTATAAGCATTCCATAGTACGAAAGTAGACATGGAGAACCACATTAGAGCTGAAATATTGTGGTAATACAACTTGGATACATTCCAATGACATAAGCAGCCAGTTGGCACAAAATGACATGCACTAAGTAATGAATGGTAAGTGGAATAGAGGAAATGGAATCCTACATAAAAGGAATTCTATAGTAGAATAGCTTATGGCAGTTTTGGTCATTATGAATATTCTGGAAAACATTTATTTTAAAAGATTTTCAACTTTGACAAGTAAACTATGTATTTTGGGATTGCAAGGGATTAGATTGATCTGTTATTTAATTTTGCACTTTGAAAGCTTAGATGCTTCTCTATTATGAAACCAGTTTACAATATATATGTATATATATAACTGTGTCAATTCTTCTGAATAGGACTGCACAAAGCAATACCAATGCCTATATCGTTGGGTTCTGGCAGTGGCCATCCAACCTCTCCCACTTATTTTCAATAGAGCATAAGCTTAAACTGGTTCCTTGTATGATAAGCTACCAGAAAAGGTTGTCAAGCTCCTATTTTATACCTAATTGTGGATTAGATGTTCTTTGTTTTTTTATCTTTACTCAGTCCTGATCTGAACTTTACCTGTATTGTTAAGTTTTGTGGTATAATTCAGTTCTTTAATTTTCAGAATTTTAACAAGGCAGCTGAGCAGGTCAAGAACCTGCAGCAGCAGCCAACTGATGACGAACTCAAGGAAATCTATTCTCTCTACAAGCAGGCAACAGTTGGTGATATTAACACAGGCAAGTTACTTATCAAAACCTGACATTTGAACTAAAATTTTATATTTAAAAAATGATACCAAAAGTTTGTTTTATTGATAATTTTTTGTTGATGTGATGACTATTTTATTCAGCAAAGTTTTTATTCTTGTTAGTTTTTTTTTATATAGTCTCAGGTAATAGAAAAGCCATTGTTTCTATTTATAAATCTATCTTGAAGATAAGTGTCTGGTCACAAGATCATGATATTATAATATCCGAATGGAAAAATGTTTTATCTGTACTAGATCTCTTTCAGTATCTGATAACATTGCCACAATTTTTTTTATTTTTATTGATGGGTTGAAAGTGTCTTGCTAGAAATTAGTCCTTGATAGTACAGAAATGATAATTGAGAATTGAGTTTCTGACCGTTAGAATATGAATTTAATGAACTTGAGTGCTTTATTCTTACTATGACGGGATGGAAAGAAGGATCTTCCTTTGTTAATCACAATGTCTGTAACTTCGTATAATTGAAGGCAAAATGCTAGAATAGTGAGACTGCAAATCTTATGTTATTACAAGGATAAGAAAGTTTTGAGTGTAAAATTTAATATTTAGAAGATTTATGATTTACAAACAGGTGCTAATACTGATTATTTAACCTTTAATGATATTAAATTAGAGGCAGAGTAACAAGCTGGGATAAGAGGATTAGTTTGAATGTGTATGATTAGCTGTCAAAACCACTGATAGTGTGATATATTAAGTCAAGCATTGCTTATCAGTCCTCTCTTGAGTAACTTGTGTGATAATTCAGGAACCAAGATCATAGATATTAATTGAGATAATGTGATATGAGTCATTCACCATGTGACTATTTCTAAATCACATTTGCATACATCAGAACTTTTAAAAATGTTTTTGAAAGTGGATTTTTTCAGTTGAGCTCAAAAGGAAAATTCTATTTTGGACCTTAAGTATAACTGTCATTTTTCTCCCCTTCAGAGAGGCCAGGCATGTTGGACTTCAAAGGAAAGGCAAAGTGGGATGCCTGGAGCAGTAAGAAGGGTATGTCCAAGGAGGCAGCCATGGAGGCGTACGTGGCAAAGGCTGAACAGCTGATCAGTACCTATGGCCTTAAGGCATAAATATATCATATTGTGTGTGACCAATGCATATTTACATTACATCAGTATTTTCTTTTTTTTTCTTTTTCTCAAAATGATTTTAAAGTAATATTGGTATCACTCGCCTTCCTTTCCTTAAATCTTTTCTGCTGTAGGGTTATTTAAAAAAAAAAACATGTTCTAATACTCAACATGTTGTCTTAGTGAATTTGTATTTTGATACCAGTGAAAATAAAAAGGCAGATCTATTTGTTGTATGATTAACAAAAATATAATATTCATATAATTTGGATCTTGGGTTTTTCTTCTCTGAGGTGTCATAGCTCAGTGGTAGAGCACTGGTTTTGCAATCACAATGTTCTGGGTTCATGCCTGGCTGCACCTCTCAAATTAACTCAGCTGTGAATAACTATTGGTATGCTGACCTCTACATACTACGGTTAATATGAGAGTGGAAAGGAACTAGCCCATCCTGCAGCATGGTCAGCAGGTTTCTCAACTAACCAGTCCAGATGGATATGGGACAAACATTTCACTTAAGAGGTTTCTTCTTAAAGCTATATGAATTGGTAGGAAGTTCAGTGAATCAGTTCCACTATATTAAATATATGGTCCTTATTAAGAGGAGAGAGATTGGTATTGTTCAATAAACAAATAAATAATAAAATCATCCTTACACCATTCTGTATCTATTTGATTCACAAGCATGAGTCATTCCTCATCCACAAAACATTATTTTATATTGAGCTAATAAGAGATAGTTGGCATGATTTTGATAAAATTCATCATCATAGGTTAATGATGAAATTCCAAAAGTTCATATACATTTATCTTTTATTTCTACAACTTATTGAATACAGACATAATTGTTTGATGTTAGCTATTTTTTTTTCTTCTGGAAATTGTAACAACCAATTGTACCATCTGACAAGGAAGAAACAGAGCTAAACTATTTAGATATTCAAAATAACAAAAATACAAACACATTATATAAAATGAAATATTTCTTCAGCCCCACCCACACGATCAAGCACAATTCCCATTGCTTGGGTAAGTCAACAATGCCCATACCCATGGTCGAGCAGAAATCACCAGATAAGGCCGTCTGCCTGGCAGTATGACTGTTTGCTGCTTGGTATGGATAGACAACCCTGTTAGACACCAGCACCCTTGTATGACAAATTAGTCTTTTCTTGGTAATTGGGTAAAGTCTGCCAGGCACTTTGATAATGTGGAGGGGGCCTTGTACAGAAAATTAATAGTGGAAAAAGAATCTTAATGGATGGACAGCTGTTCCTTCTCACTGACCTATTCATAAGTAATGTTTTCTTCCCATCTTTTGTATATGAAAATTATTTAACATACTTTCCCTAAAATTTTGGTACTGACAAACAATAGATCAAACCTACTTCTACTCATAATAAACCTACCTTTCAAGTTAAGTTAGAGTTTTCATACTGTGCAGAGGAACTACAACAACAGGTGGTACAAATACATCAGACCTGTCACTACATCACATCCTACTTCTACAGTACAAAAAATTCAGTAGTATAGTCTACCGTGTATTTAGGTTAGTACAAGGTTATGATGAAATATCTATCATGAACATGGGACATTGCTAAACTGGTTTACTTTGAAAAGTGCACTGATGTGAAATGTGTAAGTGGAGAAAAATGAGCTTTCTGAAGGTATGTCCGGAGGAGTGGGCATGAGCTTGCAGTCACACTATTGGCTAAACATTTGATTCCATTTGCAAATCAGCTGTTTTGCAGGTAGTTTGTCCACCTCTAGACTCCTTCTTAGGTTATGCCCACTGATCAAGCCCCCTTGTCTGGACATGCCAGACAGTCCCCTTAATACAAATACAATTTAATTAAATATCCAATTGCTGTACATTGATACGACATTACTGAGTCCTACATGCAGTTTCATGTTTTCATTGTATTTATATACTTGAACATCAGGGTAAGTTTACCTAATCAATCTGCGTGAAGAACAGTTTTACAGACTCTATCCCTTTGGTACATTTTAGAAGGGTTTTAATCTAAACTGTAAGCACAAAATATCTAATAATCAAGTTCAAATGATATATATATCTTTTCAGTGGAATGACATTTAGTTTGCACAGTCTAGCAACGCAAACACTGTTTAAAGGCACAGAGATTTTTAAAACAAAAATACATGTAGAAAGTTATTCTACAAGCTAGCTACTTAAGAAGAGAGATAGACACAAAACATTTTTTTTTTGGTGTGTTATCCATGTTTTAATGGTTAATTCATTCTATTTTTGTGCTGTAAATGACTCAAATACAGCCTTAAAATCCTAACTTTATACTATATACTTGCAGTGAAATTTCCTAACATTTGAGCATACAGAAGTGCAGAATGTATAACTTTTCTCTCTCTTTTTTCTGTGCTAATATTTCTCTAAAGATGAAGAGAAACTAAACTATTTTGATAGGCACATCAAGTTTAGCAGCTTCCTAAACGGTAACATATGTGAAGGGAAGTAATTTATTCTAATTGTTATCTTCAGTTTGGCACACTGCTGGCAAGAAGTTATTTCTATTTGTTTACTCATCTAAACCTAATTCTTTAAATATGAGAATAATGATAATTATGAGAAAAAGTTTAATCATAAAAGTAATAAATACCAAGTGAAACACATTCCAATAATACCAATTAAATGATACAAGTAAATCAGTCCATTAAAATATATTTGATAATTATTCATAATGTAAACAATAAAACTATAAACAATTTCAAAGGACAATAATTCATAATATACAGCATTTATTTCTCGAACTGCAGTTCTACACAACATAGGGGAAGACTGTAGAGAGATGTATAGACATGAATATTCCTACTGGACACATTTGGTTAGTATGAATGAAGAGTAATAAAAGAAGAGAGAAACAAATAAACAGTGAAAGAACAGAGTAAAGAAAAATAAACAAATTATAAAAATAAAGAAACAAAGACAACAAAAAAATAGAAAGAAGGCTAAAAGAAAATACTTTTACACAACGGCTGATAAATGATGCAGTAGTCCACTGTAATAAAGTTCAACGTGAAGTAATTAAAACTCATTGAGCCTTGGTTCTGAAGATATTACAATGGAAAATGAACCATCAAGGTGCGGCCGCTGTCTGACTCACACCCCTTCACTGAGGTTGTGGTAAGGATGTAATGACTCTTATTCTATTCATTCAATGATTTACTTTTTTTTCTAATAAATGCTACTCTCTCTCCTTACCTTATGGCCTTATTTAGTTTGTGACTTGATATATATGTGACCTCATGTATAACTATTTCTGTCAATATCTGATTTGATTCTATGAGTAATTACATACTTCTTGACATGTGAACCGTGCCATTGTAATGCACCTACTTTTGTAGACTACTGAAATTTGTCTACAATAACATTTTTATGTTTCTCAGTGACTAAGATGACTTTATGAATTACATCATACAAGTATATGAGATGTTAGATGTGTAAGATGATAGACTGTGTTTACTCATACCTAAATAAATAATTCACAGATTCAGCTCTAGTGGCACTTATAATATTTCTGGACAAAAATTCCAAACCTTAGGAAAACAAGATATGAAAAAAAAAACATAAGATTAATAACACACTAAAACAAAGAAAAAAAAAATGAAAAAAATATTTGCATGATTTACATAGATAAAAAGAAAAAAAAATAAAACCACATAAATAAGGGTCACATCTGTGTACACTAAATTTCATGCTTGAGATGATATAAAGGCAAACATCCACGTGGAAGTGAAATTGGAAATTGGAATTTCAAAATACCATTACAGACTTTCAGGAAACCTATTAAAATAATGAGAAAGAGGACAGAAGGTTAATATGTATATCATAGTCCTCACATCCTATATAATGGGTTGCCAACCAGTTGATCGCAATCAACTGTTCGATCGCAAGCCTGTTTTAAGTCAATCACACTACTGTACTTGTTAATAATTCGTCCTTCAGAAGTTGGCATGCAAATAGCTGCAACAGCATATCCAAGTACTCATGATACTTGAATGATTATATTTCTCTTTTTTTTTCTGGGAATAAGTTATATTTATATTTATAATGATAGACATGTCTGAACACACAATTATACATTTATGGAATATGTTTGAATCTTAGGCTGGTAGGCAGCATCAGGGCAACTGTAGAAAAAGTAGATATCTCACAACAGGTTGGCCACCCCTACTATATAATATATAATACACCCACAGGTCAATCACAATATTTGTAGCAGCTGTATAGAAAACACTATTATGTTGTTAAAATCTCAGAAATAAAGAATGTTACCTGATTTTATAGCGAGTTTTCTTCCCAACCCTTTCTGATAATATGAAATATTCATGCAACTTTTGCAAGGAGAATGCGAGTGCTTTAGATACCATAAAAGTAAGTCACTTTAAGGTCATTAGGGCAGTTGAACTTTAAAGGTCACAGTTAGAAATCAACAAACATGAGCTTACCACTGCTGGCTCTTTCAGTATATTGCCATACTCTGATAATACTTGTTGAATTAAGAGACAATATGTGACAAAAATTAATTATTTTAGGGCATTCTGAAGCTTTGTTTCAAGTAAAATAATTCAGGTAATACTCACCATTATGTAGTATTATGGTGTGCATTATATGGGAGGGGGTACAATATGTTATAAAATCTTAATTCATCATAGTCAATAAATAAACTATTCTGTTATCTTTATTAGGTTTTCAGTTCAGCTTGTAGCCAATGGCCATATGAGGGCATGTGAATCCAAAGGTTTCCTCAGACCAGTAGCCCAAAAAGGCATTTATAAAATATCTTTTTAGCTTAAACTTCCATTTAAAACATAAGGATAGACATGTTCACATCACTACAGTACAAAATCATGATTGTATGGCATTAAAGTGAAGATATCAAAACTTATAATATAGAGGAAAGTTTAAATTAAATTATTTAATAAATGCAATTAGTCTGTGAGAACTGAAGATGTACAAGCCCTCTTATGGCTATTGTTTCAAGTGTTTTTTTTTTTTAACCACAGTATCAACACAGCAGAGTGTTTTGTTATTCAAAATCATAACAGTTTTCTTGTCAATTATTTTTGACAAAAACCTTTCTCTGTTGATCCTAACTATTTTCTATACTACTAGCTACAATTCTAAATGATGCTGAGATTGTAAACATATTTGGGTCATTCAAATAAATCTAAAGGCCAGATAATCCTTCAG